ATATATATATATATATATATATATATCTCAAACCTTAGGCCTATCACTCTTACTTTACTTCACACCAGCTATATTCTCTTTGCTTTTATCTGTCTAATACTGTCTGTCTGCTGCTTCTCGCACATCTCACACTATTGATACATTTATTATATAGTCGTCTGGCCACTTTTTATATTCTCAACACCAATTAGTTATTAACAAAACCTTCTACAATCGTCTGCTTTTAACTGTTATTATAACAAATTTAAAAATAATAAAATATTCACTCACAAATATAAACTAATCACTAATATTTAAACCGAACAGTCTTTTATATCATGACAAACACCTTTTAGACTTCTTTTGGAGGAATCAATGAATAATTGCCACTCACTTGGTTCATAGACTGCAGCTCCTAGCATTGGTATTAATTCAGCAATATTGTTGCAATAAAACAGTTAATGTTCTTGTGAAAAGTATGGTATAAACTCTTTCTCACGATTTCTGTACCAGTAAAATGATCTCCCTGGGGAAAGTAAGTTCTTAGCCTAAAGTCTGGACCCCAAAATGTCTGAAGAACCCTTTGGAAGGCCCAAATCTCTCACCAAATCATTAAAGTTCACCTTGTGTGAAAAGTTGGGGTTCATCAGATGTTTCAGGTTGGAAACAATCCCTATCATTATTTCTATTGACATCAGATTCAGAATTAGATGAAACTATCAAGAGTTTCCAGTGGAGTAGTTACAAGGTACATCAGGTCCTTGAGCAACAGTCTTATAGCAGATTCAAGGTTCGGATAAGAAATTTCCTTTTTATTTTGTGTGATGTAGTCCTTGCACGTTACATGAGCAAAAATAGCAGTCATCTCCGTGGTTTCTAGGCTCACCCCAGACCATTGGAATTCCAAAAGGCAAGGACTTTTTATTACCTTTAGTCCATTGTCTCAATTCTTCAACACAAACAGTGCAAACTTTGTGTAAGGCCTATGATTTGTCTTGGTCCCCAAGTTTATTCCAAAATATGTGTAATACGCTTTTTTGACAAATTCTGTAATGTTTTGCCTTTGTTTTTTTACAACAAATTTGTCACAAATACAACAATATATGTGGGTCATTTACACAACCTCTTGTTGCCATAGCGAAGAATAAATAATATTGAAAAGACAAAAATAATGTCAAAGTGCATGCACAAACAAATACTATCCAGAAATGACACGTTGTGCAGCCTGTTAACCGTTTATGTACTAGCAGTGTGTGTTTCTCAAGGGTTCTAGAATGATCGATAACACTCATGTTGTGATTGGTCTAGAGAAATCTATAGCCAGTGGTTGTCAAGATTTTAAGCATAACAAATTGTGACCCGATTTCAGTGAAAATAATTCACTTGTCTAAAAGTACATATGACATTTAGTGAAAAATCTGTACATGATTAAGAAAAATGGATATAATTTTCGGATTCAATGTACAGGAATTACTGTGAAACATGTTAAAATTTCAAGAGAATAAAACCATCGCATGCCTGTGTAATTGGAAACATTCATTTCATTGATGAGTTTACGTGACATTGATGTAATTGCTGCTCATATATAATAGATTAAATCATTCAGCTCTAGTGACAACGAAGCTTATGATTACTTTTATCTCCTCTTTGCCTGTGGTATGATTAGAAAAAAAAATTCCCTGACTTAAACTGGTATAGTAGGGATCTTTCAACCATGCAAAACAAATCTAACTGTCACCATTCCAAGCAGTCTAATGGTCAGTCTTTTGAACTAAATTGAGTAAACATACCTAAGAAACACAAAAATGAAAAACAGCAGAAACATGACAGAGAAACATGAACAGTTTGATTAGAATGTATGAACTTTCAACTATAACAAAGTTACTAGAAAAAGTTATTATTAGTCACATTTTTTTAACATATTGTTGATTAAGTATGTGCCTTGGAAAGGATGGGGAGAAGTGTAATGTTACACCGATGCTCATTTTTCAACATTAAAATTATTAGTGTTAGCATATTTTATGTTAGATACATATTCTTCAAAATGTAAGAAAAGTAAATTTAATTAGCTATGCTCATTACTAGGTTGATATTTTAGTCTCACCCTAAGTAAGTAGCTTGTTCTGTTCTGAAGTTAATATTAACACTTCTCTAATACTTTGTGCACTAAGCATTTAGTTAATTTTGTTGAATCAGTGCTACTTCTGTATACAATATTTGGTGTTATGTGTCTGTTTTTTGTTTTTTTTAATAAAACTATTAAGCAATATGCAAGTCAAAAGATCAGATTTTCCATATAATATCTAGTGTGTGATTACTATTAAAACATTGTCAAATAGTTTTTGTTTATGACTGAAAAAAACAGGGACTGCTTGAAAGCTGCCTTAACACCTTTGAATCTTTAGAACTATCTTCAATTTCTGGCTAGCAAATGAACTTTTTAATACAGCCCTTCTATTTTACACTAACATAGTATGGCTTTACTATGGTTTATGAAAGTGTTTATAAAGGTAGTGTTTCTTATACAGGGCTGCAGCAGTAGATGTACAGATGTTGTAACATACTAGTTTGTTGTTTGTGAGACTACAACTATAGGCAAACTGGTGATGCTACTTACTAGTCCATTTTCTTCTAAGATTTCAAAAGCAGATGGACATGCAGTATTAATATTACAACAGTGGTAAATAGACAGATAATTTTACCAACTAGCTCTTTTTTTTTTGTAGGTTTGCAGCAGGCTTATTATGTTGCTAAAATGTCCAATTTTTGAAGCATTTAAATACATCTACTGATACTGACTTGGTTTGTTGCACTGCTGTAGTAAACAAATGGATGATATTAATAAAGGTCCTTTGTTTTATTGAACTTAAGCAGATGAATAGATCCAACTAATTATAAGTCATTTGTTTTGTAGTCTTGTAGCAGTAGATGGACAGATGAGAAAACCGTTTGATCGAATGCTATCAGGAAAACAATACCAAGAGAAGTGTGGAGAACAGCAGATACAGCAGACCTGTATATCATTAGAAGTAAGTATTGTGTAAAAACTGCTTATGTTCATGAAGCTGTTTTAAAATCAGCTTTAGTAATGAATAAATTCATACATACGACCAAAATAATAGTGGAAGTATGATGTATAGGCATCATGTGGATTGGTACTGTTGGTGCTACATGTTATAGGAACTACATTGCTTTTATGCTTCCATATTATGATGAAATTGTCCTAATGGATGATAATGTCTACCCCTATCTTCCTAAAATGATCAACACATTCCTTGAGAAAGGAATTGACCAAATGGAATGATATGCACAATTATTATGGTGTGAAAGCCTTTTACAAGCTGGTAAAGCAGGATTATAATTAACTCTACCTGTCATAAGACATTTGTATTAAGCCTGTTATATATTTTAATACTGCATTCTTTATATAGTCCCTTAGGGATTTCAAAGAATTAGAACAACTGTTGTTGTAACAAATGGCTTATATAACTAGTTTCCTGATTACTACTGTATTTTCTGTATCTCAGTCAGCCTGAAGAGTTCTGAATTGAGCGGAACACTTCATTGGCAATGGGTATGGCAAACATAGTGTGGTCAAAATAATATCATACACTCTTCTAATTCTTAAATTCCTAATGGTCTAGATAAAGAATGTAAGGTTAAAAAATATGCACAATCCCTGGTTGTCAAAATTCTATCAAGCATATATGGAATGCTATTGGTAGATGTATTACATCCTGTTACTTAAAATGCCTAGAAACGGCTATTATCAACCCTAAGTTTTAAGCACACAATATTGATGCCACATTGCTGTTGCTGTTTGTGGTACCCATACTTGATATTGAAGCAAAATGTCATGAACTCTAAAAATTTAAAGACTTCTGTTTCAAATGTTAATTTATGAGAATAAAAGAAATGAAGCTATTTGCATAACATTATGTAACACAGTATCAGATACCTGATTTCAATACAAATGGACCATTGGACAAGATACGAAGATTGTTTAGTAAACAGTGATTTTTATCTTATCACAGCTACAATATTATAAAATATAAATATTCTTGTTTTATGCATGTTACTTCCAGTTTTATTTTAGTTTTATGTAGGTAAATTTATTTGATAAGAAATTAAGTGTAATTATAGTTTATTGGACAAGAGTAACTAAATATGAATTTTTATTTTCCTAAACATGAGTTAAAAGTTAAAACATGATATATTTTGGGTAATAATTTGTTATTCAAAGTATTTTTAGGTAATTTGCTTTAAAACTTTTTCTGATTCTACTTTTTAAAGGTTTGCTATTTATGTTACCAGTGCTTTTTTTTTTCCGTCCATCAGTCTGTAAAGAATGAGTGTTTGTATACCTCATTCTGTCATTGGTTTTTTAAAGGATGTATTTTTATAAAGTTTTTATTTTGTAATTCTAGTTCCAATACAGTACTTACCTCTACTCACAAGATTGACTATTTGTTTGGCAGTGTTTGAGTTCAGATGTCGTTTCTTTTTGTGTTTTGTGTTCCTGTGTAATGACGAAAATGTTTTTTTTTTTGCCCACAGTGGTTTTTTTTTAGATTAACTTTGTTTTTCTAACAACTAGTTCATTTTTTTCGCTATATATTTTTGGAAAACTCGACCATTTATGTGCATTATTTTGAGTTATGAATTCCAAAGTTCACGTCACCACTTCAGGAGTCACACCACTAACCAGTGTTGTTTCTCAGGCCTCGGGTGTGGGTGACCTGATGGTGGATCTTTCTGCTTTCATATGTCAGGAGATTGAATGCTATATGGGTCAACCTTTGTCCCCTGACATCGTCCAGGCTCCTCCTGAATCGACAGACATTATTCAAAATGATGAGGATTATGAACACCTTTTCCTGCCTCCAGAGTTTGCTGTTCCTTCCCACTTGCAACCTGAGGATTCACCTAGGCTTAATTCGGTCTTTACAGATTTTGTAAAGTTTGTGATGTTTTATCCCCTTCCCCTATCTCTCATTCACCTCACCCTTCTTTGTTACTTGTAACCTCTTCTCAACCATTTTTGGTATTTCCTATCTCCTCAGATATTTGGTTACATATTGATCTATTTGTCTCATAATTAAGTGAGGGGATCAGCATACCGTGCCTCTCGGGGACTTCTGATCAGTACTCCCTTTCTAACTATCGTGCTGACTACTTGTTTTTGGATCAGAATTTGGTGGGTTTATTGTACTTCTTTGGGGGGCAGCTCCCGAATCTAATGTTAGTTTTACCCATGCCCAACACTCTTGCCTTCGTCTTACCTAAACCAACCTTCTGTAGTATCTTTCTTCCATACATCTCCTCTTGGAAGCTCTTCAGAGAAATCCTGAGGGGTTTACTGCGGATACCCTGCACCTTCTCGCCTCCACATTAGCCCACATTTTGTTCTTGACTCTGGTGTTACATGAGTGGTTTCTTTGTTGTTGGGACCTTATTGGTAGGGATGCTGTATTGGCTTGGGTCATTTTACCCTCAACATAACTACAGGACTTATGTCTTGCTCCTTTTCTAAGATGTTATGTCTTTGTTACAGTCCCAGAAACCATCAAGCCTCGGGTTACATCAACCCATTAGCAATCCACCCTTACGACCTTTGACCCACACAATATCTCGTCCATCCGGGGGTCTTTTTTGACACCAATCTTAGTCGAGCTTTGACTTCTCCTTTACATCTTTGGCCCATGGAAATTTTAGTTCACTGTACTCTCTTGGCTCAGCCACTTACTGCTCATGAGGTTCTATCACTTTTGGGGATGTGGTCCTCCATGATTGCACTTGTCCCTCTTGGTCATGTGCACATGAGATCCCTGCACTGGTTCCTTCATGAACAATGGAACCTTGCTCGGGATTCTCATTCCTCCCCATCCACCTTCCCTGAGAGATTATCTGCAATGGTGACTAAACAAAGCTCATACATTGACGGGCATGCCACATCCTCCCCTCGCATCTGGAATTAACATTTGTTCACGAACACACCCCTTCAAGGTTGGGGAGCATGGATCAATCATCAGGAAGCTTTGGGCCATTGGTCTGTGGACAAAACCATCTTGCATATCAATATTCTCAAACTACTAGGGATACGTTGGGCTTTATGTTACTTCCTTGTCATGTGCCAAGTGCTTTCAGTCTTGTTGCCGATCATCTTTTGTGACCAGGTCAGGTCTATCCAACAGAGTGGACATTAGACCCTCATTTTCAGAGACCTTTGCCATGGTTGGGGTTCTCCCCAATTAAATGCTTGTGCCACAGGCCTTAATACCAAGTTGCCCCTCATTTGGTCACTTGTACTGCATCTTCAGGCTTTGGCAGTTGATGCTTTCAGCCATGATTGGTCACACAAATACCTTTATGTGTACCCTCCAATCCAAATGCTTCATCGGGTGATTTCTCTGGTCCACTCTACTCCTTGCCAAGTCCTCCTGATTGCACCCTTTTGGCCAGCACAACTTTGATTTCCCAGGTTACAATGTCTGCTCCTATTACCACCTGTACCTATTCCACTATCTCTCTTCTTCGTCAACCTCGATCCCGTGTTTTACATCCCAATCTTCCCATCCTCCATCTTCACATCTGGTCCTTGGCGAGACATTACAGCTTCACACGTTGAGTTGCATCCTTGTTAGCTGGTTCCTTACAGGCATCTTCCATGGAAGTATACCAGCGCAGTGGAAAGTCTTCCACTGTTGGTCTGCTAACAGGGGATTTCCTGCTAACAAGCCTTCTGTGGCTTATGTGATGGAATTTCTCACCTGTCTTTTTGGCCATGAGTCTTTGGTCTCCTAACTTTCCGGATATCAAGTGACCTTATCACATACAATCCATTTTTCCTGATACCATAGGATTTTCCCTTCTGGGCTTGTGTTCCTTCAGGATTTGGAGGCCACCAAGGCATCCTGCCCTTCCAGATTGGGACATTAATGTGGTCCTCCATGCCCTCATTTTACCTCCATTTGAACTGCTTTCCTCGTGCTTCTTGTTTAATCTGTCCTTTAAACTTATTTCCTTTTTCTCTTGGCCTGTGGTCATTGATGGCTCAATTTGTTTGCCATTGACGTTTCATGTACCCTTTATCACTTTACATATCTTCTCCTTTATCCCAATCATTCCTTTCTCCATAAGACCTCAGGAGGACAGGAGGGTTGTTCATCCTTTTCTCCTATTTCTCTTCCTTCTATATCCCATCATTACACTAGATCTGATCCGGATAGACTTTTGTCTGTTTAGGGCCCTTTGTTGTTATATCACATGTACTGCTCCTTTTTGGGGTATGTGCAACCATCATTATATTCCCTGGCAATCCTCCTCACTACATGATCTTTCCCTTTCTACCCTTAAGAATCGGATCCACCTTTTGGTTTGTTTGGCCTACTCTTCCCTGCCTTCTTCCTCCTGTACATTGTTCCATATCTTCTCCCATCAAGATCAGCTATGTCACATTTTCCCTTGCTTCTCATCTTCATCGTCTGGTAGAGGAAATTCTACAATCCGGCATGTGAACCACTCCCAGTTCATTCATCTCCCACTATCTTCATCATATCTTGCATCAGGGTTTCCTCTACCACCTGTGGCTGTTTTCCAGACTTTGGTATGACTTTAATTGGTAAGTTTTCAGGGCCATTTCTATATCTTTTTATCATTGATCCTGCTCTGTGGCGAGCGGTGCCTGACCCGGTATTCTTTAAATCTGCACTGTCAGCCATGTTGATTCGTGCTCTTTCTCATCCATGGCTTTGCATGCTCACCATAGAGATGGGGTGTTCCACAAGATCATTTGATGGTTTTTTTACCTAGCAATATATGTTGCTTCATAAAGATGCATGTTCCGGACTGTACCACCCATGGACTACATGGGTAGAGCAGAAGGGGATTGCTGCCCATCCCTGCCATGCTTAGAGTGAATAATCAGGAATGGTCTGCTTTTCAAAATGGTGTTTCGTGGTCACCTATTGCATTGTTTCCAGTGATGATGCTCCTTGTGGCTCTCTACCGCATTGTCACCTTCCTTTCCTCGAGTGGAGTATGGTAGTCCTTACCACTTACAGTTCTAAGCTGCTGGGATGGTCGACCAAAGAGACATCTTCCTGAATGAGTTCCACACATAAAAACTTCAAACCATTCAGTTGAGAGTAGGGTGGTGATGTTCTGCTGGTGTAGATGCGACACGGCCTCCACAGGAGTTGAGCCATCTCCTTGCTGGTTGATGTGGCCTCCTGATTATGTCTACAAAACCCCACTGGAGTTGAGCTGTCTCCTTACTGGATGATGTGGCCTCCTCCTAACATTTAAAAAACCCATATAGTCGAACCATCACATTCACAGATGACGTAGCCTCCTACTAACATTTCCACAACCACTGGAGTTGAGCCGATACCTTCTGATTGATGTGGCCTCCTGATACAATTTACACAATCATGGGAGTTGAGCCGTCGCCTTATGAACTAATGTAGCCTCCCATTTCTTTTTACACAAAGACTAGAGTTGAACTGACACTTTAATGGATGACATGGGCTCCTGATACATTTTACATACATAGTGGAGCTAAGCCATTGCAATTGCAGTTCACCCCTTCGATTGGGAGACCTAATCCAACCTTCACAAGGAAGTCAGTTCCCAACATCGAGGTGTTGGATTAGAGTGAACCAATCAACATAAGTCCTCCCATGAGTACAGGTTGTCTATTTTCCTCCCTCAATTGCTCTGTCTGTGTCTTTCATCATGGCAGTAGTATGTAGGATTATTCCAGTGCTCTCCTTGACTATCCCTCATTCTCTTCTTATGGGGATGTTGTTGCCTTTGGATAGTGCTGGCCTATGCCATGGTTGAGGGAGTTGATTATATGTGATCAACATCCTTTTGATACTGGGTGTCTATTCCCTGATTGGTTAAATGGTAAGAATCCTTGTGACATACCCAGCAATCAGTGCAGATCTTAATCTGTGATTCTTGGTTTTGAGGTGAAGATGGTATTATCTTCATCCTACCCTCGCATGGATGTTGGTACCCTGTGAGGAGGTTTTGGATGTAGGTGACTTACCAAGTATGGTTTGATGTGCCCTTGCCAATCTACACCTCACAATTTCCTCCCTTGTAAATGATACACACACTACACAAGGGTGAAAGTATACCTGGCTCAGAAGTGGTGTGTTTCCCCTCTGATCTTCGGATCTATATCCCTCATTGTCAGGGGTATCCTTCAGATGTTTTCAGGGGTACTTCTTTCGTTCCCTCGCACAGGTTCCTCTTCCTTTTCAATGTGGGATTCTAGCTAATCTTGTGAGGAGAGGTAAGTATTGTATCAGAAGTTATAATTTTCCTATAATGAAAATGTATTTCCAATAGGTACTTACATCCTCTCACACTTCCCACCCTTCCTCCCCACTTCTTCGGTGCTCATGCATTCTGCCAAACTTTGAAGTGAAGTTTCTTTAGAGGAGTATAGAGGAAGTCATATGCATCACATGAGCATGTCATGCTACTATTGGTTAAGAAATGATGCATGATGATTTGCATGAGAGACACATTAGAATATAATTCCAACGGGAGGAAAGTACCTATTGGAAATACATTTTCAGTATAGGAAAATTATAACTTTGAAACAGATCTGTCTTTGTAAAGGATGTATTTTCATACAGTACTTATTTTGTAATTCTAGTTTGAAACAGATCTGTGTTTGTAAGCCTAACTACAATATTATGCACAATTATTATAATGTGAAAGCCTTTTACAAGCTGGCAAAGCATGATTAAAATTAACTATACTTGTCTACAAATTTTATCACATTTGGTAATATAGTTTCGAACTGAAACCCTTCTGAGATGCATTTCCCCAGGTCACATTGACAAGTTGTTTTTTAGGATAGCACAGTTTGACAGTGTGCCAGCTAGGATATGTAAGGTTTCTATCTGTAAAGGATTAGTTTTGGAATAGCTTGTTTTCTGTTACTTTTTTGTAAAGCATTAGTATTTGTAAAGTTCATTTTCTGCCTTGGGATTGAATGACCTTTTTATAGTACAAGGTTTAGTAAATTGTCTTTAAGTTATAGTAAACATTGAATTACTTTAAATAATGATGGCACGAGTAATTTTGTAGCTGATAAGTTCTCTTAAACTAAAGTTGAGGTCATCGTGTTTGGGAATTTTGTGTCATAATGTAAAGATAATTTCTTTTAAGTGTAGTGTGTCAGTTAGTTATCTGATAGTTTTGGAATTATATAAAATAAAAATGGGTTATTAAGCGTGTTTTATGAGGGGGAAAAAAAGTGAGGTTATTTTGTTGCTCTGATAGTCTTCAAGAAACACTGCTGAGATAAAGCCAGAAATTTTCAAGCAAACTTGTCCCACTTTAGAGCATAACTTCAATCTGTTTGGCTACCAAGCTTTCCAGCAAATGTGCATAACACCAGCTGAATTGAAAGCTAAAGAAGAAAGCCAAAACATACTGTAAGTAGTAGAAAAACTTTTTTTTATTTAACCTTTTGTTCATAAATGTTTTATGTTGTTGACAGGTGTTTTATCAATGATAAATGAACTGGATTTGGTCTAGGGGTTGGAGTAAATGCTGATATAAAACTACAGAGGTTGCATATGTTATATTAAGATGATTTTGGAGCCTCACTGCATTGTTACAGTCCATGTCACCATGTTCAGTTATGCTCTGTCTGATGCTTGTACATCTTGGCAATAGCCATGTAATGTAGTTTTCATTGAGAAATGCTTAGTTGTGAGACTGTTACATGCAAAGCACACCACTCATCCCTGCATAGTTTTCATAATCCATCTAGTGTACAATTAATTTTTCAGCACCTTTTTTCAACAATTCAATCACATATAAATCCCTAGGCTTGACAGATAGGTCCTTGTATGGAATAACATGAACATCTGTTTCATTGTTCAGCTGCATGAGGTATGTGACAGTTAAACAAATGCCATAGAAGCAACTTGTATTTGTTTTCCAAACACAGATCCTTTTTGATTATGTTGTGCACTGTTGGTTAAGACATGTAGATTGGCTTTTGCCACTAGCTTTTGTGTTCTTGGATTGTCACCTGTTACAAGGTACCACACTTAGCTTACGATGGTTAGAGTAAGACTTGTGGGTCTCTTTCTGAATTGTTGTGGTACCAAAAGTTGATCCACATTCCTTGGTTTTCCATTGCCATGAAGTACAAGGGATATCCCTGATCTGAACATATTTTAATGATCTGAATGTGTGAATATTGTGTTGGAAATGGCTGTTGCATTCCCTTTCCAAAAGCAGTCAATTTTTGACATCATATTACCTGTAAAAGCCAAATAGTGTCAAAATATTGTTTAATACACATTTCAATGATGTGGTTGTCTTGAGACTTGCTGATTTCTGTATTCATACTTGTTCTAGTATAATGTACTCAACCTTCTGTAATGGAATTGATATGATGGTTTAGATGAAATGATATGGAATAAGAAAGAAAAATGGAATTGATATAAAGGTTTGAAGAAAATGCTGATATAACAGAGACAGGATGTGCAAGGTTTCTCAAAAACATATTGTTATACACTTGTAATAAAACTAATTTCATATAAAAGTAAAAAGGAAACATGGTTCAAATTGATTATGGGGTTTTGAAAAATGCTCATACGAAGAGCTGAGAACAAGAAATATGGTTATGATCCTTTTGCAACACTTATTGTAAGAATGCATATGAGTAAGGAAAATTGTGGTTTTATGATCTTCAAAATAATGTAAACTTTACACATTTTATCATATTTGGTAATATAGTTTCCAAGAGGATCCACTCTGAGATGCATTTCCCCAGATCACATTGACAAGTTGCTTTTCAGGATAGCACCTCTCTGGCAACCTTGGTCTTTTTAACAAATTCATCTATAAATATTTAAACAATATCTTTGAAAGACTTGATACTGTTGTTGATTCACATTCCTGGATATATACTCTATACATCTATTTAAAGGAGTATATAACATAAGTTATGCATGTTGTTGGTGCTCTTTCGTCAATTTTCCTCTGCTAATGTCTCTAGGTAATACATTGCTTGAGAATGTATTTTAAAATGTACCAGTTTTGCAATATTTTTCATTGATATCGTTTAATCTTGTGAACTTGCAAATTTTGAAAATGAGGCACTTGCTGCTGGGGTTTCATTGTTTATGTGACAAGTTGACCAGTTGTAGCTTAAAGTATTTACATCATTTTAGTGCCAAATAATTGTAGTTTTAAGTTATCTATTTTTTTTGCTAAGTTTAATGTAATGAAAGTACAATTGAATATTAATGTATTAGAAATTATTATTGCAATTTTTTATGTTTAGTTTTCAAAACTGAAATATCATGTAAAGTTTAGTGTAGGTATTGTGATAATGTAAATTAAGTCTATGCAAATCAATCTGAGATCATTATCAAACCACTGTGTAAATGGTTTAACTTGTATATAGATTTACTTAGCTTGATATTTTATACAATTTTTTTTATATAACTGTAAAGCTGTTCCAAAATTATGAATATTATCCTGATTTTGTATTACAATAATTGAAAAGACCTTGATCATCTTGCACTACCATCAACCTGTTGTGCTTTCTTGAACACTGAAAATCTACAAGTAGTTACAGGCTAAATGATTTTTGCACCCAATTTGTCTTCTGTGTACTTGTGTGTTTAATATACATACTTGTGTTTGCAAAACCAAGAATTTGAGTGTATGACAGATTGGTAATCATGTGATAATCAGCAAAATCTCGGTCTATTGTTTTATACAGCTCAATAAATTTTACATTGTTAGTATGTTTGGTTTTTTAAATATATGATACTTATTATGTAATCTGCACAAATACACACCCAAAGGCAAGCCTTTAATTTATTAAACATTCTTATTGACTGTATTGATACTTGAGTAAGAATGCACATTATGCTAATATAATTGGCAAACAATAATTTGTAGACATAATGAAGTGACTTGTTATTGGGGGAACATACTGTATATTTTGACAGAACATTGGTTTGTCTTTTTCATACCAGTATGTTCTCCCAAAAAATGACTTCATTATGCTTATAAGTTGCTGTTTGCCAGCTTATTATGACTGTATTGATGATTTCATATAATAAGTTTTTTTCCCACAGATTTTACAACAATTACATAGATTGTAGCACAGTTTCTAGTTCCAATAAATAGCTAATTATTTTACAAAAATTAGATTATTTCATTAAAGGAATTTTCCCAATATTAACTGTACTTTTAAGTCTTGGATTAATTGAGAACTGTATGAAAATTATGTCATGACATTGATAGAATTGTTGTTAACAAGATTTTCCTTCTCCATGTATTGAACTTACTAAATTTTACTAAAATGATACACAAGAACAGCTGGAACAGATATCTTTTTCCACAATTGTACCCACACAAGTAACTCAAATTTTGTCTTCATCCATCCTGTATGGATGCTAATTTAAGCATCTAAGTTATATAAAGAAATATCTTAGTTTTCTATTTATATAATCCAAGAAGTTTATTCAATCTGATTTATGAATTTCAGAAATGGTAATGTGAATAACAAACATTCTCATCCACTGTATATAAAAGATTTAATAACAAACATTTTCATTTAAGATCCATGAATATGAAAAATCTTACGTTCAGCAAGAATTAATTTTTCCCAAACATATGTGGAATTTCCATACATCACTGTTCAGTATGTTTATTGGTATTTTTAGACCAGTTTCAACATATGAGGCAAAGTTGACATCTGATAGGAGTAAAATGGTTACAAATGAAATCAAATTAGTGTTTTCCTGTTACAATAGCTCATGATTAAACATATACCACCATTTCAAAATGATTACCTGAGGATTTAATGAATGTTTGAAGTTTCATATTTCTAACAACAGCTTTGGGTTATTGTTAATTGTCTTTATGCTTATTTCAAAAACCCAAGACTCGAAAAAGAAAAAAAAAGTATGAATTTAGCTGATTTTAGATATTTGTATTTACAGTTGGTGTGCTTCTTTTTAACTTTCATACCTGGCTGGGTGAATCCTGCCCTAAGGGCAAAATTTCACCTTTGAATTTAAAAAAGAAGAAAATCTTGTGGTTGTTCTTTCACACTTTTCAAAAAAATGAACACTTTATACATAAAATTTATTCAATAAGTTTTGTTTATATAGCTTTATACATAAGTTTGTAATTTTTTAATTTTATTCATTATAGACTGATTTTAATGTACTGTGAAAAAAAGCATTAGTGTCTGTGATTTTTGAATTTTTTCTGAGCATAATAAAGTTTAGCTTGGTGATATATCACTAGAAGAGATGTTTGCGAACAACTTCTGTTGTATCAATTTGTCACTGGCTTATTCAAACAGTGACCACAAACTGGGTGATCATGTAATATGTATACAGAACATCGTGCAAAATAAAAGGTGGTTTCTACATGTACTTACAAAAGTTAGTGAAATTCAGAAGTCAATGTGATACTGAAGGGGATGCACAAACATGTAAATAGTTTCTGTAGTTTCAAATTCTGGTAAGTTTAACATTCTGGACCACAAAGCACCTGCATATCAAATTTAAAATTTTATGTAGAGTAATGTAGAGTGAATAAAGTAGTGAGAGAGTAATCTATGGTTTTGTGTAGATCTTCTGTAGGAATGAAGAAGGAAAGTTTATAAGACTGAGCATTTTTTACAGTTTCTTTAAATGTTCTTTCCATTCCTGTAAATATTTTTGTGTTAAAATTGTCTGAAAGCTACAAAAATTTTCTTCTATGACAAGAATTCTGGAAAGCTTAGTTGGGTTAAACAAATATTCCAGTTACTCAGTTCTCACTTATTGAATATTATTAAATTTATTGTATTCACACAACACACTCAAATAAATCTATTATGTATTGAAATACTATATTTGATATACATTGATTTCTACCAATAACAATGTTTTATAAAAATATTATTTCTTAGTCTGACAAAGGTTTTAGTAACACCTTTTTTGAATGGTTAAATTGTAGGTCACCGATTAATCTTTTCCACTTTTTTTTCCAAGCTTTTTTTTTATTTTTAGCTCTGTAAATAGTGACTACTCCAGTTAGCAAAGTAAACAATCAAAATAAATTGTTAATGAATATCAGTCAGGTTGAAACTGACTAAATATATAAAATGAACTTTCTGATGAACAGTGAGAAAAAAGTGAAATTCTAAGATAAAGTATTTTTTGTTTTATTCGTTCAAACCAGTCTCAAAATTTTGCAAATTTCACAACCTAAGGAACAACTAAATCAAATCATGAATAATATTATCAGTAAGCTACTATATTTTGATAATGATAATAATAATAAAAAAAGCAGTTTACTAGCTGTACCAATAACATTAATCTTGGGCCTCAACTTGTAAATGAACAAATTATTTTAGTTGGAGGCTCTGTTCATCATTGCCCCTTGCTAAGATCTTAAACCAGTT